AATCAGATTTGGATCATCCTGCACAAGGCCTTGGTCGTTGTTGCTTATACTGTCCTGTCTGACATCCCATTTGCACAAGGTATGTTGGCTCGTGACAACCTGTGCTCCTGGTGCCCTCCTTTTGGATGATGTGCCTCTTCTCTTGCCATGTCTTGCAAAGTCTTGCAAAGTATCGCAAAGTATTCTTCGCGACACACACACACACACACACCCAACAGCATGCGTCTCAACCCTGCTCGTTACCATCCATTGAATTGTCGTTGCTTTGCTCTTGGGTGCGCCCCTGCGTCCACTCTCACCACGCGCCTTCCACACTCACCACACCGCAATATTTTTCCCATCACCCACGCATCACTCCTCCCTTCTCCTCTCCTCCTTTTTTGCTTTTTCTCGGCCGCTGGGACAGCGGGCGCCGTGCTTGGGCTCTTCCTTGTGTCTTCGCTCATGTTGTCGCTCTGCAAACCCTTCCGCATCGCAAACGCCAACCTCATCGCCAGCTGCTATCACATGTCAGTCCCGTGTGTGTGTGTGTGTGTGTGTGTGTGTGTGTGTGTGTGTGTGTGTGTGTGTGTGTGTGTGTGTGTGTGTTTGTGTGTGTTTGTGTTTGTGTATGTGCGTGTGTGCGTACATTTTTGTATCCGCGTACATCTCTGTATCCGCGTGTGTGTTTGTGTGTCTGCGTCTATCCAACCGTGTCTTTGAGGCTGCCCGCGAAATTGGATGCCTTGTCACTGAATATTCTTCCCTCATCCGCTGTTGTACTGCTCTCTGTCCTCACTCCCGCACCACCTCACATGCTCCCCCATCCCATTTCTGCCACTGCTGTGTAGTGCGCTGATGGCGGCGTCGCTGCTTGTTCTGATGCGCCGCACCGACGGCTCCCAGGCCCTGCTCGAGTCCCCCTATCTCGACCGTGAGGTCATTGCTGCCGTCGCCTTTGCGGGCGTCATTGCCGGGTTTGTCTTTGCCACGTGGCTCGTCTCTGCTGCGCGCCACCGCTCCCAGTGGCCGGCGCCGTCCTCGCTCGACGCCTACCCGCCCGGCCCGCTCGCCGCAATGGCGGAGGCCAGTCGTGCCATGGCTGCATGCTGGGAGAGCCCCTGGCACCTGGCGCCAACACACACGCTCGCAGCCAGCATTCACGCCGTGCAGTCGTATGTGCAGGACCCGGACACGCCGGAGGGCGTCACGCTACAGCTTCGGCACCTGCTTGACAGCCTGCTGTTGTGCTACGCGCAGGTTGCGCCCCACTCGATATACTCGCAGGCGCCGCGGGCGTCGGTGTGGACGTGCCAGAAGCAGCTTGCCCTGATGATGCCGGAGATGCGGCGAAGGATGGACGAGCGCGACGAGGAGTACTTGCTCATGCCGCGCCACTTTAAGAGGTGTGATGTGGTGTGGTGTGGTGTGGTTGGTGTGGTTGGTGTTGTGGTGTGTTGTGGTGTGTTGTGGTGTGTTGTGATTTGTATTGTGGTGTGGTGTGGTGTGGTTGGTGTTGTGGTGTAGTGTGGTGTGGTGTGGTTGGTGGTGTGGTTGGTGTGGTGGTTGGTGTTGTGGTGTCGTGCTGTGGTCCATATGTGCACGTGTGTGTATGCACATGTATGTGTGTCCGTGGTCATGTGGTTGACAGGAAAGCTTTACATGCATACATCGACATGCTGCTTTTGCCGTTACTTACAGCCCGCGCGTGTGCGTTACGTTGTCTGCGATCCTGCTTGCTATGCACCAGGTACCAGCTGAAGATGGTTGCGTTCCTCGCGTTTCGGGAGCTGCTGCTGCGTGTGCGTGAGCGGGGCCACCAGCCCAGAGGTGACACCTTCGCCATCCAAGTGCGCCCGCCAAGCGGCAGTAGTGACAGCGCGTCTCTACTCGACACCTCTGAGGCGTGATTCCCTCTTGATGAGGCCCTCTGCGTTCATATGTCGTACCCGTACCCGTGCCTCTGTCTGTGTGTGTGTGCTTATGTGTGTGTGTGTGTGTGTGTGTGTGTGTGTGTGTGTGTGTGTGTGTGTGTGTGTGTGTGTGTGTGGTTATCTGCCTGTCGCTCTCTGCCTGTCTGTGCCTGTCTGTCTCTCTGTCTATGTTTACCTTTGTGTGTACAAAGGTGTGGCCTTGTGTCTGTCCCTTGACCCTCGGATTAACTGTCGGTGTGCTCGTCGCTCCCCTATCCCATTCTCCGCGCGGTTTGTCTTCTCCCTAACTTTTCCACGAGCATTCCGCTGGTTCCACCGTGCCCTTGAATGACACGTGTGTCTTCCTTGTTTCCCATTTTGACCCTTCCCACGCCTTTCTTTGCCTGACCTTCACGGCCCACACACATCCTACATTTGTTGGATGTGAGGGAAGCTGTGATTGTTGCTTGCTTCCTTTCTGGTTCGTTCTACGTGGTGACGGTGTGAGCAACCGACCCTGATACACGGATGCACGCCACGGCGGGCCGCTGCAATGCAGGCGACAGCCAACAAGAATCGATGACAACGGCACTGCGACAGGAGCGCGAGGCCGTTGAGCGAGATAACGAGGCCAAACCAGTGTGCTGCCAACAACGACAGCTCAGCACATCTCCTCCCACCACCGATGTGATCCCAGCCACGCTCCACACAACACGCTTTCTTCGTTTGCACAAGAAGCAGAAGTCCTCGAACCATGCAATGCTGCTCCAACACCGGTGAGCACTGCGATGAGTCATGGCGTGACACACACACACGCTCTCGCACGCAATCAGTCGCAATCCTTCACAAGCAGAAGCAGCCATTTTCCTTGTTCCGTCCGTTTGTCACTGCCACTGAGTCCATTTCCTTTCGTTCCAAGCAATTCCACTCCACTATCTCTGCCTCCCCCCCCCCCCTAAATGCCAAGATGCACGGCCTTTTTGCCGCTGTGCTCGTCCTCGCCCTCCTTGGCACTGAAGGTCATGCCCTGTCGCCCCCAAACAACGTGGACATCGTTGGCAAAGGCGTGCTCACTTTCCAGGTCAGTTATTCATGTCAGTCCCCAAGAAGCGCGTCACAAATGCTGTGTTAGCATGGGTGACACAACAAAATGGCACCACCCAATATGGAACGAATGCACCACCAAAACGTTTTGGCTGGCTGTTCGAGGTTGCCTGCAAGCAAGAGTGAATGCTGGGTTGTTGTTGAGCGTTCCTGTGATTCTCCGTGGTGCTGTGCTGAAGCAGTTCCACAATGACTTGTAGCGATGATCCCATACGCTACGACTCCGTGTTTCACACACACACACACACACACACACACACATGCATCTCCCTGCAGTCATCTATTGATGGCGATCCGCAATGCTCTTCGTCACGGTGCAACACGCCTGGGTTCATGAGTAGCGCCGTCTTCAACCTGTCTTCCTTCGAACAAGGCCAGCACTATGAAGGCACAGTTGCCGTTCCCGATGGCTGGACCTACCTCCCAAACTTCAAGGTGTGCTGTTTGCGTCCTGATGTGTGCATGTGCGTGCATGTGTGCATGTGTGTATGTGTGTGTATGCGTGCATGTGTGTGTATGTGTGTGTATGCGTGTATGTGTGTATGTGTGTATGCGTGTATGTGTGTATGTGTGTATGCGTGTATGTGTGTGTGTATGCGTGTGTGTATGCGTGTGTGTATGCGTGTGTGTTTGTATTTTGTGTGTGTTTGTATCTGTGTCTGCATCTCTATAAATGTCTGAATGCCCAGCACCCAAACGACAACTCTTGTCTCACCTTCCCCGCCCGCCCCCTTCGCACTCACACAGTGTCGACTCACGGATTCAGTCAAGGCCATGCACGACTGGTTTGACTACAAGTCTGTGGTGAACGCGTACACGCACTCGGAGCACCACGGCCTCTTCCACTCATCCTCAGAGACGCACTGGTTCTCTGCCGTCAACTCGCTCACGGTCAACAAGAACAACGTGGTCGTTCGCCACAGCATTGCCTGCACAAGCTATCATGTTCAGCGCAACACGTTCGACAACAGCGCCGTGCTCACCGCGGGCTTCAAGTCCAACGTGGCCGAGCTGCTCCCGCGCGACGAGAGCGAGTACAACGATAAGCTTAACGACATGCTGCAGTTTGCCAACGCCTACGGCGACTCCGTTGTTGCCGACGCTGAGTTTGGCGGCAAGTCGGTCCGCGTAACCGCATTCAGCCAGGAAAGCTTCGAGCATCTCCGCAAGACGTCGGGCGACCTGCACTCCTCAGCCACCCTCAACCACATCTGCTCCATTGGTGACGACGTGCTCTGCAACAACCGCACCCCTGGCTGGAACGAACAGGAGGCCTTCAACTCCAGCAAAATCTCCGTGCAGACAAGTTACATCCCCTTCCCGCCCGTCCACGGTCAGCTCACGCGCGGCGCAAACGCGTGGGCTCTCGCTGTCGAGAAGGACCCGGGCGTTGTCGCATACACCCTGCAGAACCTCACCGCCGTCCTCACGCCAGCCTTCTTCCCAAACGACCCAGCTATCGGCACGCGCGCACAGCTCTACCAGCGCTTCCTCAACAATGACTTCTGCAAGACGCGTGCGGGTGGCTGCCCCAAGCTCCCCCCACGCTCTGCTCGCTGGACCACCACAGACACGGGCATCACGTCCTTCCAGCCCATGGCAGGCCATGCTGCCGTGTTTGCCAACGTCTCCATCTCCACCGCCAACGCCAACGCCAACGCCAACGCCGTGCTGTTCTTCAGTGGAACAGCGAGCCAAGCGTCCCTGCCCGATGTGCCCGCCGTGCAGCGCTACGTCCCCGCAGCCATGCCGCCAAAAACGGCGCCAACCCCAACCAAAGCCGCCCAGGACCCATCCGCTGCATTGCAGGGGGTGGCGCCATGGACGCTGCTCTCGCAGGACCCGCGCGCCAACGTGGCCAACGCCTCCGCCGCCGTGCTCAACGATCGCGTGTATGTCACCGGTGGCGCCGGGCCGCCCTTCACCAACACCAGTGGCCGCACCACCGTCATCTCCTTCTCGCCCCAGAAGAACGAGTGGATCAACGTGGAGCCCATGCAGACGCGCCGCCAGTTGCACTGCACGTTTGTCGCCTGCGGGGCGCTGCATGTTACTGGCGGTGGCACGCCTGTGACGGAGGTGTATGACCCGGAAACCGACTCGTGGTCCACAGTTCAGCCCATGCCCCTCACCCTGTCCGGCATGTCGTGCACGGTGGTGAACGACTCGCTCGTATACGTCGTCGGCGGCGTGCTGCCGGACGGCACGCTAAATGCAAAGGTGCTGTTGTACAACGTGGACACAGACCTGTGGAGCGACGCCCATGTCCCGCCCATGGGAGGCGCTGACACTCCACGCATGGGGCACGCCGCCGTCGTTGTGGGCAACGACATCCTCATCATGGGTGGCCGCGATGCAACTGGCCTCGCAGCCCGCTCACCAGACACGAACGCCGTGGCCAGCCTCAGTGACGTGCGCATCCTGCAGCTCCCTGTCAAGGGAGCGACTGCGGAATGGATCCCTGGCTGCGGCCTTCCCGAGGGCACCGCGTTTGCCCCGGCAGTCACCATGCCCTCGGTGAGTGCACCCGGAGGTGTGGACGTTGTCGTTGCTGGCGGCTGCAAGGACAGCCAATGCAAGGGCGTCGTCTCCAGCGTGCAGACATACACCATTGCGCCAGGCGCAACAATCCAGTGCTCGCAAACCGCAGTTCCTACTACCTTTGGCGCCAACAGCAACACCGCCAGCGGCACCAGTGCCAACAGCGCTAGCAGTAGCAGTGACAGCAGCAGCAGCAGCAACAACAGCAGGGCACCTCGCACCAGCGCTGGCTCCACCAGCTCCCAGACCTCAAAGCAAGCCCGCGTGACCAGTGCTGGTGCTGCATCGCCACCGCTTCATCCCGGTGCATCGTTGCCTGGGATGGGCGTGTCCACGGTGACGGGCAAGGTGGTGCCAGCGCGCGTGTTTGAGCCAGACTGCAAGAGCTGCTTCTGGCTTCACAAAACACACGACAACCAGAGCGTGCCCAACGCCTTGGACGTGCGCTCGCTGCGCCGCTGCTCCTTCCAAACAGAGACGGGTCTCATCCAGGACGAAGTGGATGCCCAGGTTGCAGCCAGCGCCTGGATGAGTGCTGAGCTTTTCTTCGGCTTCCCGGGCCTGCTGGACTTTGCCTTCAGCGCCAACTTTGAGGCGGGCTTGTCTGCCTCTGCCTCCACCACCTTCCGCCACACCACCGCCTTTGCCTCTGGCCGATGCGAGCTGTTTGACATTAACTACATTGAGGCCCGCCCAGGCGAAGAAGGCGTTGTTGTGACGCCACTCGCCAGCACGGACCCAAACGAGGCCCCCCGCAACAGCCGCAGCAGCCGCAGCAGCCGGAGCAGCCGCAATGTCAACGCCGATGGAGTCCACACAAAGAAGAGCGACGGCCCTGACTCCCTGTTGACGCCGCCTGTGTCGCCCGACTTCAAGGCGGCTGTGAACCTGCTGGTGCAGCAGATCAAGGAGGGAAACACCACCAATGCCCGCGCCCTTGCCGTGAGCATTCTGCAGCACTTTGGCGACGCCTATGTGAGCTCTGCCTCGTTTGGCGCGCGCTTCTCCCAGTCCTTCGAGATGACAGAGTCGCACTTCCACGCTGCCCTGCGGGCCAACGTCGACTTTGGCTACTCAAGCTCGCACTCAACCCTCTTCTTCTGGGGCGGCTCCCACAGCGAGGACGCGCAGGCGCACGTGAGCGCCAACGCTGATCTCGTGCGCTACACCAGCTCCAACCGCACCACCTGCGTGCCGCTCTGTCCGCCCCTCACCAACAACGTCACCATCAACACGACCGGGTTTGATAACATCTTTGACAGCGACGGCGGCCACGTGTCCCCAATCGCCACGCGTGTGCGCCCCATTACCGAGGTGGTGACACCCGCGTACTTCCCCACCATCAGCCACGCCCTCCTGAACCAGACCGCCGAGCTCATCCGATCCGTCATGCTGGACGGAACGTACTGTGCCCATACGCCCGGCTGCTCGGCAGCCAGGCGACAGCCGACGTGGCAGTATGCGCCCAACATGCTACCCGTGGGCGCCACATACTCGCGCGCCGTGCTTGTCAACGAGTCTGCGGTTGTTGTTGCCGGCGGCTGGCTTGGCACCGTGTCCGACGTCACCCTGCTGTATCGGCCGCCCATGGTCAAGGGCGTGCAGGCGCCGCAGTGGCAGCACGTGAGCCCAGCCCCTATCACCAACGCGTCATCTCTTGTGCTCGCGCCCAACAGCGCGCTCTGGTCCGTGTGCAACGTTCCGGCTGGCTCCACGTCAAAGACACAGTCGGCCATCTACAACACAACGACTGGCATTTGGGTCTCGGGGCCCTCCCTCCCTGATTCCGTGAACAACGCCGCGGCCGCGCTGGACGCCGCAAGCGGCAAGATTGTGGCTGTGGGTATGCTGGCTGGTGCGTCAACGCAGACGGCATGTCGTGCGTACCACCTTGACACAAGTGCGAGCTCGCCCTCGTGGCAGCGTCAGCCGCATACAACACCACTGCTGTGCCTGGCCAATGCAACAGCTGTGGCAGACGGTTCCGGAAGCGTCTTCCTGTTTGGCGGGCGCCGCCCAGATGGCTCGTGCTCCTCGGCCATTCTGAAGTACAACGTGACCACCGACGAGGTGCGCGTCGTTGGGTACCTTCCCATGGCCATGTGTTCAGGTCAGGCACACACGCTGCCCACTTCATCCTCCGCCCACACCACCACCACCACCCCCACAATGGACAGGCATAAGAACTTGGGTCGGGCGTCCGGTACTCCGTTCCCTGGCCGTGCAAGTGACACTGTCGTCATTGCTGCCACAGATCCTCACTCTGGCAGTCGCTTAAATGTGTGGCGTTGGAACATGGTTACACGCGAGCTGGTTGTGCTGCCGTCCTTCAACCGAGGTGGGGACGAATTTGCCGCCGCCATCACCACCGTGTACATGCCCAGCACAGATGAGCTGTATGCATTTGGGGATGGCATGCTGCCACTTCGTCTGCGTGCGGCTTTTGGTGTTGTTGCACCTCCTGGTGCAACCGTGGGCGACAAGGTGGGCCTGCACCCAGCAACCCAGTCCCTGCCAGCACAACCAATTGAGACACAATCGTCCCAGGCTCCCTTCGGTGCTGCATCATCGTCATCGCATGGATTGCCTTGGTCTTCGTCATCCCTGTCATCCCCGCCTGCGTCAGCAGCACACAAGCACCCCCTTCACGGCAGGCACCACCAGAGCAATGCGTATCCTCAACAAGAACAACAGCAACAAAGTGGGCGGATTCGGCGTGGTGGCAGCCGGCCGGTTGCCGTGTCCCCCAAGCAGCCGCAAGGCAAGCCAGCCCTCCGGTTTCAACAGGTGGACATGATGCTGCGTGGGTATCACACGATTCGCGGGGACCCCCTGTCGCGCACAGGTGCCGACCCTGGCTGGAGCCGCTATCCCGTGTTTGAGATGGACGGCAACACGCCCTGGTCTGGCGTCATGCAGGTGCCTGGCGACACATACGACTGGACACTTCCACCAGGCATCAATGGCGAAGGCGGTGCGAGCTCGGACACGTGCAAGTACGCCAAAAAGGCCTGGCACGTGCACGGAACCACGGCGCTGCAGCACACGCTGCGTGGCCTCTTCAGCGTCATCCCATCGAAGAAGTTCCTCTGGCCGTCGCTGCTCGGGTTTGAGTATTCCCTCGGAGGAACATGGGCCATGGTGACGCAGCAAACGGCCAGCTTCACGGCAGACCTGGCCATTGCCATTGGTCACTGCACCCGCTACACGCTTTCCCGCCCCAACTATGCGTCGGGCCTCAGCTTCACCACCAATTTCTTGAATGACCTGCGCGCGCTGCCAAGAGACGTGGATGACGACAACCTGCCTGTCTTCGCCAACTTCACGGACAAGTACGGCTTGTATCTGCCAAACTCCATCCAGTTTGGCTCCATGAGCGTGCAGGTCTCTGCTGTGGAGTCGTCCATGGTCCGCGCCATGATTGAGGGCAAGACGTCGCTGAGCGGCGGTGCCGAGGCAGCACTGCTGTTCTTCTTTGACCTGGACGCCTCAGCATCGGCATCGGCCTCAGCCAACTTGACGGCCGAGATGCGACAGGCCATGACATTCAACTACACCACGTGCATGCCCCGCTGCCCACCCCGCGTGAAGGACCCCAGCAACAACGCGGCCGCGTGGCAGGCGGAGCTGGAGCTGCCACAGGGCGAAGTGTACCCTGTTGGCGTTCAGCTGGACGCCCTCCCCAATGTCCTTGACCAGTCACGCCACAACCTCCCTTCTGATCTGCAGGGCGAAGCGCTCACCGACCGCCTTGTTGCACTGACGGAGTATTGCGACCACTACCTCCCACAGCACCTTGGTGCACAGGCCGCTCAGGCAAACCTCCTGTGGAAGAACGCGTCACACGTGGGGGAAATGCCCGCACCGCCCGGCCCGCTGCCAATCCCAAGTGCCCTCCGCCATCCAGTCATGGGCGCGGCTGCGCTCATGTACCACAACGACACGCTGGTCATTGGCGGCTTCAACAGCTCTGGCCTGCCCACAACGGAGGTGCAGGTGTTCTCCTCCGGCTCGTGGGTGACGCAGGGCATGCTGCCCACCCCGACGGCGTATGCCGCTGCCACCGTGTTCCGTGACCAGCCATATGTGTGCGGTGGCATCGACACGTTTGCCAGCGGCACTCCCACAGCGACAGGCAAGTGCTACTCAGCCGTTGGCGGGGAGTGGAGTGCCCGACCATCGCTGCAGGTGCCACGCTTTGGGCACAGCATGGTTGTGGTGAACGGCGCGCTGTATGCAATTGGAGGCATGATGTCGAACGGGACGGCGCTGGCCAGCATCGAGGTCCTCACAACCAACGCCACGACCTGGACCATCCTCAACACCACGTCTCTGCCAGCCGCGGCGAGCGGCATTGCTGTGGCGTACTCGCACGCCCTCAACAAGGCTGTGCTGGTGGGTGGCCTCTCGGACGGCAGCGCCCTGCAATCCATCCTCGTCTTTGACGGCACCAAGGTGACCACCATCTCGCCTCGGCTCGTGCTGCGCGATCCGGTTGCATTTGCGTCGGTGATGGAGATGCAGAACGGCTGGCTTCTTGTGACAAACGGAGTCAGCGGCAAGGGCGGCGCGTCAACGCGAGTGTCGTATCGCCTGGACCTTCAGGCCATGTCCGTCTCAGCCACACCGACACCGCCGTCTTATCAGATCGGCGCTGCCATGGTCCCCATCACCAACACAACTGGCCTTCTCTTTGGTGGCGAGTCCTCATTCACTGCGCAAACGATTGATGGCACGTACCCGTTTATCGACGCCTCCACAAGCGCTCCATTCACAGCCTCCACGGACATCAAGGTTGTCTCCTTCCAGTGAGCACGGGTGAGATGCTGAAACCGCCCTGTATCGGAGAATCAGCGAACATTTCCCGCTTCGATGGACGGGTGGACCGTTCCCCTCCATGCTTCTTCTTGATCCGTGCATGTTTGGTTTCCACTTGTCATGCTTCAAACACTCACACATATGCCATTGACCACCACTACAGTGTCACGCAAGCGTTCAGCGTGCACGTTACCATGTTGCTGTCCTTGTTCGTGACGTCATGGTACACTCTCTTCCGATGTTCCGAGTTATGTTCACTTCAAACCTGCACCATTGCTTGTGGTATCACGTTCATTGATCAAGAAACCATCACCAACATCCATTTGGGATGAAAGGCAAGAGGACATGTTGCTGGTGAAACCATTCAATATATTCAGTGGGGGGAGGATGCATGCAGAACAGCAATCGGTTGCGCTGGAGATTAAGGCGGAGAGGATGAAGTGGTGCCTGTGGGTGTGGCGGAAATCGTCGTGGATGCGTCTGTGTAATCGCAGGTGATGGGATCAGCGGCGTGTGCGGGGTCAGCACACTGGTAGCTGACTTCAACATACTTGTAGGTGCCCACGCACGGGTCCGTGAACACGGCGTTGCACGCCGCCACCTCACACGCAGACTGTCCATCGCACACCCCGCGCATGACGGCTGTGCCGTTGACCTGGCACGTTGCGAGGTCTGTGCTGTTGGCGCGGGCGAGCGGGTCCGGGCACACGCTGTTGTCCAGCCTTCCGTAGAATGCATTGGCAATCTTGATGACGTGGTGAGGCCCGCAGCTGAGTGACATCATGGCAGAGGTGCAGTCGTGCTTTGGCGCAGCCTCACACTGTCGCTTGTTGTTGTTGTTGTTGTTGTTGTTGTTGTTGTTGTTGTTGTTGTTGTTGTTGTTGTTGTTGTTGTTGTTGTTGTTGTTGTTGTTGTTGTTGTTGTTGTTGTAGAACTTGTGGAGCTGTTGTTTGGTGTTGGTCGTGTGGCGGAATTGCAGTTGATGGGGTCGCTGATGTTTGTTGGGGCGACGCATTGGTAATCCACCTCCAGGTACTTGTACGTGCCATAGCATGGGTCTGTGTACGCGCTGTTGCAGGCTGCAACGTTGCATGTGGAATGACCGTCGCACTTTGGTGCCAGAATGTTCAGCACGCTCAGGTAGCAGGTGGTAAGATCGTGGTTGCTGTAGGGGCACACGCCGTCATCAAGCCGGCCATAGAAGGCACCAGCAATCTTGATAACACGGGTGGGTCCACAGTTCAGCCTCTTGGTCGTTCCACATGCAGTTTCACAGTGGCGCTCCCGAATGCACGTATCGCCGGGCAAAGGCGTTGCTGCTGCTGCTGCTGTTGTTGTTGTTGGCGTACTTGTTGTTGTTGTTGGCGTACTTGTTGTTGTTGTTGTTGTTGTTGTTGTTGTTGTTGTTGGCGTACTTGTTGTTGTTGTTGTTGGCGTACTTGTTGTTGTTGTTGTTGTTGTTGTTGTTGTTGTTGTTGTTGTTGTTGTTGTTGTTGTTGTTGTTGTTGTTGTTGTTGTTGTTGTTGTTGTTGTTGTTGTTGGCGTACTTGTTGTTGTTGTTGTTGTTGTTGTTGTTGTCGTTGTCATTTCGCTTGTGCTTGGCTCAATTTCACTTGAGGTTGAAGTTGAGCTTACAGTGGTGCTGCTGGTGGTGGTTGTCGTCATCGTGCTGCGACTGCTGCTGCTACCGGCACGATCTCTCGTGCTTGTTGTTACCGTTGTGGGAAGTGTTGTGCTCGCTTGTGGACCTGACTTCAAGCCGTCATACTGATCCGACTGGCAGTCAATGTCGGCCGTGAAAAAAGCACACCTCGTCCTGGTAGGATTGTTGGGTCATCAATCAGACAGTCAGCACAATGCCACAGGACCACAACACCCGTATCAGGTGAAAGTAGCAAACAAAGCAAGAGAGAGCTCTGCGGTGTGTGTTTCGTACCAGCACTGCAGTGCTTCGAGGGTTGGAGATGTCGCGTTGGTACTGTCGTCCCCGCAGGCATCAATGCAGGCATTGAATGCGCCCAATGCACCTTCAGTGTGGTGGACGTGTGCCTCCACACATGCAACAAAGCCATCGGTTCGCGGGGCGTCAACGCTCTGTATGCAGCAAAGCAACCCAAGTGTGAGAAGATCCGAAGTAACGAGAAACAGTTCATTCACCACACCTCTACATAGGCCCAGTGGCGGCTATGCCCCGCTCATGTATTCCCACACGGATGTGGCCGTATGCATACACCGCCTTGCCGGGTCACAAGCACAAGCAGTACAAGCAGCAACAGTCGTTGCTCACACAACGGGTATTTCACCTTGCCAACGCAGACGTTGATATGGCGGTGACAATCGGCTGCGCAGCGCTGCTGTTCTTGTTGCTGTTGCTGTTGCTGTGCTGCTGGTGGTGTCGCTGAGGGCTCAATGGCCTCGGCGAAGAGAACTGCTGATGACAGGAAGATTGCACCTGTGAGCATAAGGGATCCCAACAGGTAGGGCCTGAAGGTGCCTGAGGCTGCGTTGCGGTTGCTGACCGTGAACATCATCGCAGCAATCGACGGTGTTATGGTCTGCTCGATGTGTGCTCTGCTGAGAGGAGGCGATTGACGGTATAGCTTGGCCGCGCCTGGTGTTGCGGTGCGAATCAGGCCAGGCGGTGTCGCTGCTGGCTGCGTTTGAAGTGTCGGGGTGTAAATAAGTGGATGGTGGCGAGAAATGATCGGGAGGCCACAGAACCTTGCCGCTTGAGCGCCAACCACAGGGCGCTACCACAGATAACATCATCTCATCACGTCGCTCAATATCTAGGAATGCGTCGTATCCACTTGACCAAGTGTGCGAGCATCCACGAGGAGGTTTCTGCTGGCAGGTCCAGTTCGGGGAAAGAGACCACAAAGTCGACCGGTCTGCAGGTAGGCTTGAGTGAGAGCTTCGGGGAAATAACAAGGGCATCTTGACACCGTATCAGGCACGTTGCTGTAGTGCAGCCAAGAACTGCACGTCGGGGCCGCGTGCACGTGCAAGGCCTTCTGAATTCGGGCTGGCGAAGAAGTACATGACATATGATGCGCACGATATGACATGTGACAACCGTGCGAACACGAGCCTGGCTGCCTGGCGGTTTGCTTGACAGTGTCCTCGACTATCGTTTAAGCACTTTGTATCCGCCCGAAGCTCCTATCCGTGGTTGTTGGTGTTGGTTGTCGTCCGTCCGTGCATGGTGTGTCACAGCCGCACGCCCTGACACAACTGTGCGCGAAATCACTGTCGCCCTCTTGGTGTGGGCGCACGATACGCCCGATCATGCTGAACGTGCTGTTGGAGTGCCAGAAACGTTTACTGAATAAAGCACATCAATAACGCTGGTGTGACATTGACACAATTGCACCACGCAGCAGAGCACACAATACATCGCTGGGCATGGCTCCCATGGCGCCATCACGCCTGGTCCTCTGTGAGGGAACGAATGCGGGAGATGGTGTCAGACCACGTTGTCTGCTCAAGTTGCAGCCCAGCCCTGACGTCTTCCCATGTCTGTTCGCGGGACTTGCTTGCTGCTGCAAAGTGCTCGCGTGCCACCTGCACACTGGCATCACGCGCTTCTATTGCGCGGTGGTGCAGGCTTGTGCTGAGCATGCCCACGCCGTGCGCGGATGTGAGGCGGCGGTGCTTTCCAGGCATCACCTGCCCCGTCACAATGAGCGGGAAACGCCCCTTCTGCCGCTGCTCTGCAACCTCAGGAGGTGCAGTCGGATCTGTCACAAAAAAACAAAAATCCGGCGCACCAGTGAACGAGGAAAGCAATGTATGAATGCATGAGGATAAGTCGAGGCAACTACTGCAAGCGTCAGAATAATTGTATATGTGTGTGCGTGTGTGCGCGTGCGTGTGTGCGCGTGTGCATGCGTTTGTGCGTACTCGCGTGCGTGTGTGCAGTCGAATACACGTGTCCTTCAATCACAAGACTTCAAAAAGATCGCCTGACCTCGTGACGGCAAGTAGAGTTCGTTGGGGTTGAGAACGTCCTCGAAGATGTTGCACAGATTGTGCACCATTTGGTTCATATCATTCACAAACGTCGTCAGCTGCAACACACGATCAAGGAAAAGGAAAGTGAGACGTAGTGCACTGACAGGAGGACAGAAGTGCACGACACACTCGACAACACCTCACACGCACACGGAGAGAGATAAGTGGATGTTGACAACCACGCGCACAAGCAAATGCGCACAACACACACACACACACACACATACACACAACACAACACATAACACAACACACAACACACAACACAGCACAACACATCACGCAACACAACACAAACTCCTTACCGCGTCGTCATCTGCCTCGACAGACTGCTCGGTCAGCGCGTGCAGGGCGGAATCAACGTCTTGTATACGTTTGTGTTCTTCCTTGTCCAACTGCTGCAAGTCATCAGCAAGCGCGGGGTGCGCAAGCTGTGGACGAAGCCGTGCCATGTGCTGCTGGTGCTGCTGCGTCCACGCCTTGCGCATCTTTGCCAGGGAGTCGCCGTGCAGGGCGTGCATCGCATTCGTGTGCTGCGACACGCACTTGAACGTGATGTTCTCAAACACGGCCCGCGTGCTGACCATAAACATGGAGTTGATGCGGGCGAGCAAATCAATCAGCAGCTGCACAGCCTTCTCGTAATACGTGCGCGCGCGATCGTCGAGCTCGTTCAAAATGTCCTGTACAAAGCCACAAGCAAAGCTCGCATGTGACCAGCAGCGACACAATGCGACGGGTGCACCGGCATCGCAGGAAATAGCATCCCATTGCTGCTAAACCACGGCGTGAAAGCACGTGACAACCACCACACATTTCAACTGAGGCACTCAGCCCGCAGCGCTCATCACCACACGCCCGCACCTGAACGTTGTCCATGTAGGATTGGATGGTTTCGCGGATCTCGAGTGGGCGCAGTGTGTGGCGTGCGTGTCTGTGGTGGTGGGCAGGAATTGCATGGCAAACAAAATCGTGAAAGACCCAACAAAGGCAGAACTCTGTGAGCACGATTCAACATGCCACTGACAACAGAAGTCAGATTGCATGGGCGGAAGGCACATCAACCGTATACACACACACACACAAGCGTTATGAGGTACATGTATATGTACACTGAGAACACAACAAGGTGCCCAACGTATCCACAAGCCACGCACTTCCACGCACACGCATACTCATACGCAACCACATAACACGCAAATACGCACCCCTTCTCGTAGAAGGGAACAGCGAGGTGGATGATGGCTGATCGGCATGTGATGCGGTGGCTGGTGATGGTGTGCATAAACGAGTCAGGACGCCCCGGAATCCAGTCTTCTACCATCAACCGCAAACCACGCACAGCGACTGGCACCGTGTTCCTGCAACAGCGCCAACATGCAGTGTGAACAGTATAGCGCGTGTTGAGGAAACTCCAGCACCAACACCACGACACGCCCTCATATGATGTCGCTTCACCACAGAATCGCGAAGACACGAGTCTGTCTGCAAACATAACCATCAACCACACCTTTGGCTGAAGAGCCAATGCCTTGCATCAAAACAAAAGTCACACAGCGGGTGGGTTGGCAAGCCAACGCAGAAAACCAATGACTTCAATCATACACACCTGCCATTGGCGACAGGTTGCTTCGAGCTCTGGCCCTTGCGCTTGCCCGTGCTCTTTGTGGACTTTGCTGTTGACTGGCGCGCACCCTTGGACGCGTGCGAGGCGGCACTCAAGCGGCTGGCACGTGCGCTGCCGCTGCGCTCGCCGTGATAGCTGTGCGGGGCACCATGCTTGATGCAGTTGAGGTAGGCTGCCTGCTCAATCACACCGTCACTGAGGGCCTTCATGAGGGAGAAGATGCGATCTGCTTCGCCCGTCACATCGCGCTTGATCTTGTCCAGCTGCGCAAATGTCGCCTCAAGCTGTGCAGACGACATGGCAGAAACGGCGGTGATGGTGGTGAGATGGAGTAAGATTGTGTGTGTGTGGGGGGGGGGGGGTTCACGAGAGAGAGAGAGAGTTGCAAAACGTAACGGCTTCACACGCCAGGAACATGCCATGGACACACACACACACACACACACACACACACACACACACACACACAAGTGAACAAGACCACACGCACAAGTGCGTTGCTATGGACCGACCTTCTTGAAGGCAGAGTCGCACTTGTTGATTTCGGACTGAATCTTGACCTTGCACGTGCTGATCATGTGGCGGGTGTCCTCCAGCAATGACACGTCGCGGTGGTGGATGGTGTAGTCGTTCTGGAACCGCTCCATGTGCCCGTTCGCCTGCGCCATAAATGACGACTCCAGACCTGCCATGAGAAAGTGTATGTGCATGTGTGCATGTGTGCATGTGTGCATGTGTGTGCATGGGTGGAAGGGCGGGTGAGAATAGGTGCTTGTGTTGATAACAACATACAAGTAAGACAACGCGTGCATCTGTAAAACGTGGAATGTGTGGTTTAATGTGTGGTGGAGTGATCATCTCCCAGGAACTGAGAGTTGTCTCCACTCCACCCATGATTAGCATTGGAGTGAATCACAGGAAAGGTGCTTCACCTTCCAGCTCGGTGAGAATGTCGCCCTCAATCTGATCGATTCGCGAGAACACGTGCGTAATCACCTGCATATGTGCGTGTTCGTGAAGATGTTTGTGTGTGTGTGTGTTCTGTGTTAGGATATCAACTCAAAGCACAGGAAAGCAAACACGCATGCATGTATGTTCACACAGGCGAGGAAGCGGGCGTGCTGGCAAAACAAGAGATAGCTGCGAGCGGAGTGGACAACAGAACATAAATCGAATGAACAGCAGCAATGCCCTAAATATGTAGGCACGACAAACAGCAAACAAGCGGTGCACAGTCATACTGCACCTGCTTGTATTGCACAATTTCATCTGAGCTGAAGTTTCCGTTCTCCGTGAAGGAGCGAAAAGATGCGCGGAATGACGCGTTGCTCTCCTTCAAGCGACGCAGAAACACATCCAGGGACTGCATGCGTGTGCACACGACCGCACGTGACAGTTGGCAATGAGGCAACAAGTGACATGTGCGTGAGAAACATGGTCAGAAACACGGTCAGAAACACAGTCAGGCGTCATCACGTCAACAAGAAGAAACAAAGCACATCATAGCACAGCGGCGTGGTGCCCACCTTTCTGTATTGGATGAGCGCTTCCCGAATCACCTTGCGGTATCCGCGATACTGATCCTCAATCTGGCGCACAAAACACACACACGCGCAAGCGTGAAGATGAAACAATTGCTCAGCACAAGCAAGATCACATTCCCAGCACGCACTGGGAGCGGGGACAAGGGCATGCAATGCAGATGCAGGTGCAGGCACGTGTACATTCAAGCGCACACACATGCACACATATGCGTTCACATGTGTACGTGCACGCACCGCTTCCTTGTGCATTTGCAGTTCCTTGCGCGACCGTTTTGAGCAGAGTTCGCCACAGGCGAGATCAATCGCTCGCTCAAACTGAAGCGCCTCCCGATTCAACTGCTGCTGAAGCTCGCCCGACCTGCAAATGCACACACACACGCGAACACACACACACACATGCAAACGCGCACATGCGGCGCACATGCAGATGGGGCATGTGAGTGTATGAACGGGGATGCCAACATGCACATGCGACATACATGTGCACATGCACAGCACTGCAAACAACCATGTACCTCACCAAACCATCCATCCACCAGTCTATCACGAACCTGTCTTTCTCCTGCAATAGCTCCTGTTCGACGGCCTGGCTGTGCTGATACACGCGATGCTGGTGCATCATCAACTCGGCCGCCCGCACATTGTGCACATCTTCCTCGATACGCTGTAAACGGTAACATGATATCATGTGTTCAGGGTGACTGTTTGCGTCGGTTGCATTGAACAAACGCTTCCTTGGTAGTACACGCAGCAACAACAACAAAACATAGCAATGTCGAACAGCACCGGGAAGTGCAACACCCAAGCCACCAATAACAACTGCAACCACAACAACAACATCACCACCACCAACAAATGGTCCAAACTCCACACTGTCTCCATGCACCCCGTGTCGCCCGAACAGCAAGACAGGCGCTCACCCGCATGCGCCCGTCGTGCATTTCAATGGCCGCATCCACCTCCGCCTCCACTTCCCGGCGGCGCGCAGTCGAAAACTGGAAACGCACGGAGCACACACACACACACACACACAGGCACACAAGCGATTAGGTTGGTGTCATGTGCTGTAGTGTTGTGTGTGTGTTTGTGGGAGGAATGCAAGGACTCACACCAAGCACACACGCGCGCGCGCATACACTCGCACACACACACACGCGCGCGCGCGCAAGTACACAAGCATGCACATGTCCAAGTTCCACATACCTCCTCTGCATGCTCCACACTCTCTGCTTGAAAATCGTCCGCGTGAGAGAGCCATGAGCTGCAAATGTGCGCCCAAATCTGTCCCAACATAACACATGCAACAGCAAGGCCAATTGCTCGGTGAGCGTGAACCATACCAGCATCACACGACGACACACAATAACGCTCATGACTCATGCACGACGCATTGGTAAAGAACAAAGGAGGAGCGTGCATCGAAACACATGCAAACACCCACTCATACACGTACACGAGCAAACACACGAGCAAACACACGAGCAAACACAAATATGCACACACGCAAACGCGCGGACATGTGTGCACGTGTACAGCGCACCTTGAGTGCATCGTTCTCGGAGAGCGCAATGTTGTGGACAACCTCCCTGGCAGCAACGTCAGAGGCAAGGCGGACGGCAGGAATGTGCTGGCGAACAAAGGGACGGGCGAGTGGATCCAGCCTCCGCTGCTCACGCTCTGCGTCATCCAGCCCAATAAGATCTGCGTCCTCCTCTTCAACGCCTTCGTCTTCCATGCCGTTACCGCCGAACTCATCGCGCTCATCCAGCACTTCATCATACTCGTCATCCTCACGCAGACCCACAGCTGCGTCGCCATCACCATCACCATCATCATCATCATCATCATCGTGGTCCTCAACAACCACGACGTTTGCTGCTGTCCTCTGCGTGTCGCTGCCGCGTCCGGCATGGCTCCCGCCTGCTTCAGAGGCGGTTGCATCTGCGGTGTGCCGCACCCGACTGTTGCCACCATTCGTCACCTCGCTGACTGTCGTCATCATCGTTTGTGCGCTTGCCCGCACTCGGCTCCGTCGCCGCGGCGTGACGGTGAGAGAGCCAAGCTCGCCCACCACGGCCACGCTGTTTGTGCTGTTTCTTCCTGTACTTCTTCTGTTCCCTGGCGGCTGTAGGCCTCGCTCTCGCCGCTCCTTGGCCACCTCCGCCTCATCAACAGCAACCGTGGAGTCAACACGGCTCACGACCCGCCGCAGCTTTGGCAGCGTGCTCAGAAACACCGCGCGCTTCTCCCCGCCCTGCACTTCGCTCGCGCGTGTGCGCGTGCTTCCACGTGAGGACGTGCGTGACTGTGAGCTGGAGACGGGTGCGTGGTTGCGCACGCCGATGAGGGTGGGCGCCCAGCGCCGCCGCTTCATGCGGAAATCGCGTCCATGTGCGCGAACAATGTGGCGTGGATCCGCCTCACGGTCAGCCGCCTGGTTGTGGAGGTGGTGATTGTTGAGGATGGTGTTGTCGGTGGTAGTGGTGTGGGTTTGGTTGTGGGCGGTAGTGGTGGTGGTTTCGGTTGTGAAATGGTTGACGTCGGCGCGAAAGACGGAACAGAACGCACACAGTGAAAGGAAAACACGCGAGCAGTTCGTTGCACTGGTGTCACGGCAGCCCATGAACAAAAAATCAGACAAAAACTGAGCGGCGCCACCTTCTCAGAGAGACGAACGACGCCCAGAATTGCCTCCACGCGCTCAAAGTACGCCTGCCAGAACACAGCACAACATGTCGCCGCGAAGAGGAGTCAGTTATGAGCACATGCCACGAACATGCGCGTGTGTCAAAGACGGTGGAGGACGCTGAGTCATGGATCAAGCGGCACTTTCCCTTGCGCACACACGCACACACACACACACACACACACACACACACACACACACACACACGCATGCACAGGTCAACTACTAACCTCAGCCTGCGCTTTAATCTTGGTTGGGTGCGTGGTTGGGACACCCTTTGCGCTGTCACCATACTCCTCCAGCAGCTTCTTCGCCTGCGTGAGATGCGTCTCAACAGCGCGCTTGAGCCCAGCAAGGGCGTCTTTGCTGCCGGCCTGCCGCAACGCGTCAATCTTCATGTCAAGTGCCTGCTCCGTCTCCGCCTGCCTCTGGCGTAGCAGTGAGCGCAGGCCGTGGATCTTCTCAACAACAGCATCCTCCTGCTGTGCCACCATCTGCCCGCACTCCGTCCACTGCTCATACAGACTTCGACAAATCTCTGTCAGCGCATCGGCCTCCGCGTGCAGCGTCGCAGACTGGGTGATTCGAGACATGGCGCCAGTCGTGTGCATGGTGATCGTGGTGGTGGTGGTGGGGGGGGGGTCGGCATTGTTGGTTGCATGGTGAGTGAAAGTTGATGTGAGATACGGAAGGCAGATAAAACGTGACACACCAACTCACACCAGCGAAGCACTCCTGCCATCACCACCATCACCACAAGCAGCAGCAGTGTCGTATGTTCGCACCACATCATCCAGGGCTTGCACAAAAGCTTCCGTCTCCTTGTGGCTGTCGCGCAGCACAACAACACACGCATGTCTGCACTCCCTGTCCACCAGCAGCCGTGCCCGCTCAGGGCTGCAAACGTTCTCGTCGACCAGCGACCGCAGGCACGACGTCACCGCAGCGTTGCACTGGCGCGAGTGATGGCGGTGTTGGTGGTGGTGGCGCATGAGAGGGTGAGGCTCGAAGTGATGTGACTGTGGGTGATATGGTATACATACAAAAGCACCCGACTTGTTCTCAAACGCGTGCGTGTTGTATGTGTGCGATGTGTGTATGTGTGTATGTGTGTGTGTGCGTGGCCATGAAGTTGTTGACGCCACCTAAAAACACGTCAGAAGTGTGTGATTTCGGTCCTGTGCACTCTCCATCTTCCACCGCGGGCACTCGCTGCACGCACCTCGTCCTGTTTCTCCTGCAGGAGCCGCTGCAGGTCTGAGCGAAGCGTGTGGTGCATCTGCGCGTATGTGTTGTGGATGTTCCGCATGTCTGCCTGCCACGCCTGCAGCCTTGCGTCATATTCGCTGGCTGCAGCAAACGCGGGCGAGAGGTGCGCGGCGCTCTTCATCAGCTCAATCCTGGTGACAGCAGCAGCAGCAGCAGCAGCAGCAACACGGGTGGCGTGAGTGCATAGCAAAAACACGGCGAGTGTGAGTGCAAGTAACAACACAGGTGGTAGAGACAGCGGAGAAAATACACAGCACAGCAGGGTGTACGCATGAACACACACACACACATCGATACACGTGTGAACACAAACACACGCATACACGCACGCACACGCATGCACACATACACGCGCACACACACATACGCGCACACCTGGTTTGCATGAGATCGTGCAGGTCGCGGTTGAATTGATCCAAGCGCAAACAGCGTTGTTCCTGTTCACATGTGCAAGACGTGGCATATGTGCGCATGTGCACATGTGCGTGTGTGTGTTTCGTTAGCATGTGCAGATGGGGTGCGTTGGTCAGCATGGTAGAGTGAGAGTGCAAGTGACGACAAGCGCGCAGCAGACAAGAGGGCAACGCACATCGTAAGCTGTGAGATCGAGAATGGTGTCCAAGCATTGCTGGGTCAAGTCTTGCTCCTTGAAGTGCTTCCACCTGCGGCACAACGGACGCGGTCAGATGAGGGTGAATGAGGACCAGGCAGTTAACCTGACACTGACACCACAGGCAAGCCCCCGAAATCGCGCACAACACGCCTCGCATGATGGGCACATCACTCTCAACGCACAGTTATGCACTCGGCACATCACGACTCCACGTACGTACACGAACGCTCACACACGCACGCACACGCACACACGCACGCACACGCACACGCACACACGCACGCACACGCACGCACACGCACACACGCACACGCACACGACACACACACGCACACGCACACGCGCACGCACACGCACACACGCACGAGCGTTTTACCGTTCGGAAAGGATTTCCCACTGCACGTCCATGTGTTCCTCCATGTTCACGCGATCAGCAAGAAGCTGCGCCTTTACATCCGCGTATGCAACATAGTTGTCGAGCATTGTGCGATTGATCTCCTGCGGGGGTGTTTGTGTATGTGTGTGTACGAGCGTTTGTGTTTGTGGTTGTGTTTGTGTTTGTGGTTGTGTTTGTGTGTGCGTTTGCGTTTGCGTTTGTGCGTGTGTGAGTGAGTGTGTGCGTGTTTGGACTAACACAAGAGCCAGCAACAGGAACATGCACAGGGCACACACCTCAGCTTCGGCGTACACCATGCGATCTGCCTCTGACGGGAGCACGTGCGCAATGGAGACAATCAAGCGGTGCGCATCGCGCAGCACCCCGCGCAGCTGACATTGAAGACGTACACATGTGTGTTTGCGAGGGGTGAGGGGTGCAAGTGGGTGAAGGGTGCCTCAGCTGGATGGCGTGGGGTGTGCCAACCAAAAGAAGAAAAAGTGTTCACAATGCAGCACAGCACGACACAGCGATACGGCCCAGCACAGCACAGCACACCTTTTCCACGCGCTGGGCCTCAATCTCCATGAGCGTGTTGTAGAGTGTGTCGATGATGGAGTTGCAGCCCTGCAGATGCTCCGTGATCATGGTGCGACACATGACCACTTGCTGCCATGACATGGTGCGCAGTGCACGGTCGTCCTGCAGCTGGGCAAGCAGCTCCCTCGCTTCCTCATCGCTCTCCAAGATCTTTTGCCTTGCACGCTGGCTGTGCTCCATAATGCGCTCGTCCACCTTGCAGCGTATGTGTGTGTGTGTGTGTGCGTGAGTGTGTGTGCGTGTGTGTGAGTGTGTGTGCGGGTGCGTGTGTTTGTTTGTTTGTTTGTTTGTTTGTTTGTTTGTTTGTTGTGTGCGTGTGAGCAGTCCATGGAACGATGATGGGTGCATCTCCTTCATGTGCTTGTGTGTGTGTAAACACGACTGTGGTTCATAACCCCCTTTTTTTTCTGTTGCGTTGTCATGTCACCTCTTCTCGGACGGCCGCGAGGTCTGCATGCAGTTTGTTCCACGCAGAGATGTGGCGGTCGTGTCTGTCACGGCCGATGCGCTCTGTCAGCGACAGCTCTCCATTGCTCCCACCAGCTATTTGGCACGTCGTCATGAATAGGGAAAGCGTGAGGTGGGTCTTGCAGCGCACTCACACAACACAACGAAGAACAGGGAGTAGCCGTGACCAGTAGCAGCACGACAAGGAACATGACAAGAGAGAGAGAGAGAGAGAGAGAGAGAGAGAGAGAGAGAGAGAGAGAGAGAGAGAGAGAGAGAGAGAGAGAGACGTGGTACGGTTGGTTGAGAGAGCACAGACCGACGCACACATTCTGCACCACACACACACACACACACACACACACACACACACACACACACACAAGTGGAACACTCAATAAGGGCGCACCATGGTGGGTTGCTCGGTCCACGACGCGATCCGGCAGTGCGCGCACCTCCACAATCTCATCCTCTGCCATCATGGCGGGCCCTGTCCCTTTCAAACACACATGTACCACACAGCACATTATCAGCGATGACTGGACGATGACTCGGTCAGCGCAAAGCCACCACACACACACACACACACACACACACACACACACACACGCACAAAAGCCAAGCAACGCAGAGCGAGCACCATCCACACCATCCACTCAGCGCACGCATCGCCACCTGTTTGGTGTCTTCTTCGCTTGGCAACAGGAAGGACGGGCGTTTGTGCAAAAGAATAGATTTTGTTTTTTCTTCGCACACACACACAAGCAAGGAGCAACGGCAAAGGGCTACGAAGCAAGCAAGCAAGCAAGCAAGCGTGTGTTTGTGTTTGTGGGTTGGTTGTCCTTGACTTGATTGATTGACTGTGAGCCGTCGTGCCGAGCACGGTGTGCGTAGCAGACAGGACACGTCAGAGAAGGTATGGTGTTAGAGGATGACAATGTGAAGGAGGCTCTCCCCTTCTTGCAAGCACAACACACTCAATCCACAAGCATCTCACACTCGAGTGAAGTGCAAAAGCCACACCCACCACACAGGGAACGAGTTCACTCACACAACCACAAGCCGTGCACTTCGTCATGTCACACCACTCACATGACACGCACGCCGTCACCGGCGCACTTGCCTGTCCCTTCCCTTATCTCTATCTCTCTCTCTCTCTCTCTAGCTTCAACCAAGCCGTAGCCGCAACAGCTGCTGCAATAGCACACCAAGCACGGTGCTGTGAGGCCTGTTGGCCTTGACTGGGTTGCATGTCATCGCCTCACCACTTCACCAAGACATTAGTGCAACCACTTTCAGGTACGTGGGTACAATGGGTGTGCGTGCGTGCTTGTATGTGTGTGTGCGTGTATGTGCGTGTATGTGCGTGTATGTGCGTGTATGTGTGTGTGTGTGTGCGTGTATGTGTGTGTGTGTGTGTGCGTGTGCGTGCGCGCGGGGTGATCCTAGCATAGCATGCGCCAGGTGCC